AGCTTCAGGTTGGACCATCAGAATATCTTGAAAACATGGTTTGACTTCAGAGATAATGCCAGACTTTGTATGAAATTGTATGAATGACTTTCTTTGGGTCATGATTGGTGATGATTCGTTGAGTCCCCCAAGGCTCCATTCTCAACCCCTCTTTTTTTTTCTGTATACATGCACTATTATTCTTATGTAGATAAGGCCCTGTGGCATCTTGTATCACTATTTTGTCCCTCCAAAATCAAGTATTTCCTTTTTTCCGAATCATATTTTTCAAGTGATGACAACACCACCCACTAGACGACCCTTCCATCTTATGTTTGGAAAAAATTGTTTTGGCCAACATACACATTCCCTAAGAGACGTTCAGTGCAAAGTTGATAGAGGCCTGGAAGTTACTCACCTTTCCTGAAACAGTCGTTGGTTATTTTATCAGATTTTGTCTCTTTTTCCAAGTTTTTACTGGAATTCTCAGAGTCCTCTGCAGAACAATAATTCCATTGACAGGAACTTTGCCTTTAAGTGGAAGTCACATCTGATTCATTAATTTACTGTAACACAGTGAGAAATCTTATTTCTACACCTACTATACTGGATCAAAGTTGGATAAATGGGGAGTGTGATAGAGATATCAGTTTCTACACAAGCCGCCTCAGTAGACAAGAATGCAATGCCAAAGTCTGTCATTCAGTTGAAACCCATATTTAATATATACGGCTATATTGTCAACGCTCTGCATAACAATAAGCCAACCAACCTCTCAATCATAATACCATCTTGAGTTATCCAAAGACGAGAATTCATAAGCATGCAAATCCTTTCCATGTCTAACATCCTCTCCAATAAGATATGAAGTACGCTGAAGAAATAAATTCTCATAGTTGTGTCAATTCTGACTCCGGTTCTTGATAACCTTCCAAATCACCTTCAATTTTACATAAATCATTTCAAACACCAAAAGTAAATATAGAACAGAAGAACCAAAACTAACCACAGAAATTACCAGCCTGGTTTAACTATTCTGGTTAACTGCATAGGAGTTTTCTTGTTGATAAACTTGCTATCTAACCAAGGCCACATTCAGATCAAAAGCCCTGTGTAAAAAGACACACCCTTCTTCATTCGAATGAAGCCAGTCCACACAACAGGGGTGCTAACACAAGAGGCTAACCAGGCTTAATTTTTGCTGCAACACAGCAGATAGATTACTTTGCTCTGTTTCTACTGTTTTCCTCACGTTGCAATAACAGATAAAATAGTTGCTGCCACGATAGCCTTCGCAGCGGCCTGGGTTTGATTCCAAACTACAGCCCTTTGCCCTCTCCACTTTCTTGTCTCTACAGCTGCTACTATCAAATAATCATTTTCATTGACTGCCACTACACAATAGAGCAAGTTGTGGCTAATTCCTCTACAAATTAAACCAAATACCAGTATGTGTCAAGTAACTCTAGTAGACTTATAGTGATTTGAAAGAAATGATTACGCACACCCTGTCAGATCAAAACCCCATACACATCTGGATCAAGGGGAATATAAAAGTGGAGGACATGCTTGTTTTCCTCGTTGTATTTACGCACATGCAGAGGCATGTCCCAGAGTTGAAAACTGCTCCCAGACAGTAATCTGTGATGCCATTGATTGACTCTTACTGCTCTATTGATGGTAAATAGGAGACTGACTTGTGCACACCCTGTGACAGTATGATAAGAGACAGCAGAGCAGAAAAAAATAGGTGTTACCTTATCTTTGGCTAACAGTTGGTGAACCCAACAAGCGAAATGAGTTTGGCTGACACACAGACAACACGAAGGAGGTATCTCAGAAGTCACTCTTTGTCTCACTAAAAGCTGCAAGAACAGAGTGACTAGTTGTCAACCTAAAACACTCATGTATGTCATAACTTTGAAAGGATTCAAACTGTTTTTTTGTTTTGTTTTGTGGTGAGGTAACCGTGGATAATATGGGATATTTTGTGTAAAGTTAAAAGCTTGGTTTCATGTTCTTCTAATTAGTATGTAATTTCCTGTGCACGTCCCTCCCTGACATTATTGCACATTTTTCCTTCCATAAAATGTACCACTACGGCTGGTCTCACTCTCAAGTTCATTCATTTCCTGCAATCTTCAGTCTGTGCACATTTTTGGCCATTATATTCATGCCAGTAGAGGCTGTACGGAGGCAAATTGAAGAAACCAAATGTAAATACGTGCAGAAGTCAGGGCACAGGCCTGATTCTTTCTGCCCTCATTAGCTGTAGAGGGATTAGACCTCATGCTGGCTGCCCTCAGAGGGGTGATGGGACCTGAGGGGTGAAGAGAAAGACACAATTTTGGTACGAGTTATTCCTGCAATATAATAAATAATAAACTTTCTTCTTAACATTTATGACTACGTATTTTACATAGTGAATCAGGTTGTGGATCATAAATGCACTCAGCTGAACTAGATTACCCAAAGGAGGAGGGTCATTGACTCCATTTTGCCCAAAGAAGGATCTTTGCTTTGAATGGGGGAGAATTAGCATCTTCTTGCAGCCTCACTGCTCCTTTTATACAGCAGCCCGGGGCTGTCAGCCTTGCCTTGCTTTCTTAGTTTGATCTGTCTGAGGCTCTGAATCCCAACACGCTCCTTTTTTTCCCAATTATTTAACCATACCCACAGCAAATCAAAGGGCTGGAGATCATGCCACAGATTTCTGAGAGAGTCCCTGATATAGAGACAGAGAGATTGATTGATATAAAAAATCATCACTCAAAGAAAAATTGGTCAAATCAAAGAGAGAGAGAGAGAGAGATAAGAGAGCAGAGGGGGTGAAATGGAAAGCATCAAGCTGTCACAGCACCCTGCTCAGAGAGGTTGAGGTGATATGTTTGATGAGCGAATTGATGTCAGGGCGAGTGGCACTTTGATGACACAGTCAGAGCTTTTCAGGGTCAATCAAAATCTATATCTACAGCAGAACAGCTACAGATTTTACATCCAGGCTCACAGTGAACGCTTTATCTGAGGCTCTGATGAACAACTGATAAGGAAGAACTTCTACAGAGAGCATTACATAGACTATATTTAATATGCAAGCAGTTTTACATCTTGATTAAAAGAAGAGATAGCAAGGACAGAGATCATACTACTACTCAAACAGTCATAGATTATGGATGCATTTTTGACACACTTTCAGAAAGCCACTGGGGTCCATTTACATGTGTTTCTATACAATATGAAACACTGTTACATTACTGTAAGGTGCAGACTGCAAAATCTGCTATATCTGCACCACCTCGCACAACAGTAAAGGACCTTTAACACAGACTTTATTTTAACTGTGATGAATTACACTACTCAAGCCAGTTTTACAACCAATGTATTTTCATACTACCACGGGACAAATTTCAGCTTTACTGTCCTTGGAGTCTGGTGACATTGTCTAATTCCCACTGTATTCCGCCCACCTTCAACTTTAGCAGGCGTCTTAGCAGCCAACACTCACTGAAAACTCCTGTGTGGGTGTACAGGGAGTTACTTTTTCTGTATGTTGACTTACATCCGTGCTTTTGGCTTTTTGTATCTAACAAGGTAGCAAGCTCGTTGTGCAGGACTTTATTCTTCTTTAATCCAGGCATAAAACTCTAATTGGTCACTTATTTGTCTAATCCAGGTAAACAGACACAATGTGGCACAATGCTAGATGTCTAATCAGGTTAATGACTGCCTGGAATGGCAGACAAAGTCTACTGAAACCTTAAAAATACAGCAGCATGGTTTGTAATGTAACATAGACACCAATCGTAGTAAATGGGATAAAATATACACTGGTATGGTTGTTGTAAGAGCGTATGAGGCAAATGCTACAGTAATTGTGGACATTGTGTACATAATGACTGGATAAAAGGCATACTTGGAGAGGCATGAGACATGAGAAAATTACAGTGTTTCTGGTATGTAGCCTTATGCATGGTTTTGTCATATGACCTCACCCAACATCGTGGCTTCCCTGACAATACAGAAAGGTCTGTTGACTGCCTCTAGCATTTCTATAAACCTGATTCGCTTCCAGCTCAGACATGAGTGTGAAGGATGACTTCACCTGCTGTTGTTCAACTGCAACAACAAAACACCACTAAGGCCTTGTCCTGGTTTCATCGCCCATTTCATCATTTTAGAAAATAAAAGGTTTCATTATTCAGGAAATACAAAAAGCAATGTGAGTCATGTACAAATATATTTGAAAGCAAGTGGGGAATTGTGGGTTGAAAGCCCACTTGAATATTCATTCATCACCATCTCTAAATACGGAATACAAAAAGATAAAACTGGATTACAGGACTAACGGTTTTAGCTGCCAAGTGGAATAGAAGAAAAATCCTAATCAGCAAAGCAAAGATTACACAAAAGCATGAAGTTGCCCTGGAGGCGCCTCAGTAGACTCCAAGAAGCCATTATATGTTCTGATATTGTGAATGTACTAGTGACAACATGAGGACTTCGTCTCATAGCGGTTGAAGCTGAACCTCCCCTTTTCATGCTTCAGCCAACATGAGACTGTTTTCCCAGTGACCACATGATGCCAAGGAATGAGTGGCTCCAATCCATTCGCATTCCACACAAGCCACATTAGAGCAGATGGAAAAGTACAACATATGACATATGTGACACCTTAAAAAATCGATGTTCACTGACGAGAGGGGCAAAAATGTGACAGATCTAGAATTGGTGTGCCTTTTGCGTGTTGAAAAACCACAAAGCTCTGACCCTGTGTTGTCTGCAGATGTTTTACATGTGATGAAAATCTTTTTCTTTCAGCTTTCAGCCTTTAATTGGTCGCAAATGTCAAATTGTCTTTTTCCTTTCTACGCACATTCTTTCTGTAACATAATAATCTGTAATACATTTGACTTTAGTATTGTTGTAGAGACACTCAAAGCACAGTTTTCATGAACATTTAGGGGAAACTATGTTTTGGGGAAATCTAAATAAAAGCTGATATACAAAAAAACGACAAAAGATTATCAGAAAACATATTTCCTTTATTGGTTAAGAGGTTTTACAACTTCTGTTATTGGACACGATAGTAGGTGGGCTTTTTCCGTTGCAAGTATGCACAAGGTGTGTGACAAGACATATATATCTTTTACTCATCTGTCAATGATACATTCAGTTGCCTCTGGTTTAGGCATAAAATTTGTCTATCAAAATGTGCCTTTCTGAACACACCATGATTACATGAGAGATCTTTTGCAAGCTTATGAGGTAGATTCTGTTAACTGCACGTTTACGATATGAAATATATTCAAACATTTGTAAATCCAATCTATCTATTCAAACCTAAAATTTTTACATTTAACAAAGAGGCTTAATGGGTCCTAAACCCCTTAATAAAAATGATTCAATAGACAAATCACAACTGAGATCTCTGATTTTGTGGTGATCTCTGCAACACCACTTTTCATTTCAGTGCATCAGGGGTTTTTGATTATTTTGTAATGATTTACATTTTGCTTCAACGGACTAAAACTGAGTCAATTCATTATCATTCCACAAAAAGGGACCTAACAGTGGTTCCATGATCAAAGTAGCGTAGAGTAAAATTAGAACATTTAAAAAACAACAACAAATACAAATCTTAAAATGTAAGACTGGTCAAAGGTCCAGTGTGTAGGATTTCATGGAAGGAGAAACTATGGACACTTGCGAAAAATGCGAACGGCCCTATCTAGGGCCATTGTTTGGATTGTCCCTTCTGGGCTAATGTAGAAATATGGCAGTTCAACCTAGCGGACTCCATGGAAGGCGACCCGTGGCATCTGTAGATTTAAAAGGCTCATTCTAAGATAACAAAAACATAACAATTTCTATATTTAGGGGAACATTAACACTAATACTATTACATTCCATTTTTGACAATAGATCCTCCTAAATGCGACACACTGGACCTTTAAATCAGGGTTTTAACAGGATGAGGACAGTCAGGGGAAGGTCAGCACAGGAGTCGGGTCACTGTGAGAAGGGTTGCTATGCTCGAGAGGACGGGGTACAAACCGGTGGTCGCACTACGTGAGGCAGTCCCACTGCGTGACCTACAGTGTTCCCTGTTCTGGCCGATACAGCCTGCATATGCCATTACATGGGGGATGTAGTTCTGCTCATGGACCCCATGTAGCAGGTGAGCCAGGGGACCTTTAGCAAACACAGCCACATCCTCTCCTCCATGAGTTTCCATGCTCAGAGGAACAGCTGACTGGGCCTGGTAGTTGTTTTCCTCTGAAAGGCAGAGACACAGAGAAAAGATGTCAAGATGTTATTGTTTATAACGCCTGAGAAATTAGTTTATGACCGTTTTGTTTATTTCATGCATGTGCAAAGTGAGACACAGTATGCCAATGGTTTCATACTATTGCACTGGCCTACACGTGGCAGTTAACACGATAGATATGCGGCAGTGCGCCAGGCAGGAAAGAAGAAGACTGCTAGCCATTACACTGGATTTACAAATCTACTTTTCAAATGTTTCATGAGAAAAGAAAGGCACTTGTTAGAACTCAAGGATACACACCATGTGTTTTAGTGATTAATACTGCACGCAAACCAAACTTTTGTGTATTTGTAAGGAAACTCGACAGGGCAACTTTAATCTCAGTTATGCAGCATTAATCTGAGATTACTTAGTAACCACTCATGACTACATAACTCCTCTAACAAGTCATTTTGTGATATTGTACTGTAATTTGTTGTCAGGTAGAGAAATTAGTTCTGTCTCCCCTGCAATAGATTAATCCTTGTATGACTTAAATAGCTTGTGTTATCAAGAAGAAAGTCAATGAAGTTTAGGTTGGCTTTTCCTTTTAACTGTAATCTTTCCCTTTAACATACCCAAACCTAGATTTTACTTACGGTAGTCAATAGTGGAGACATTCTCCCTTGCACCCTTAACAATTTTGTAACCTGGTCCATTCCCATATAAGATGGAGGTGAAGGGCTTCTGGTCAATATCACTCAACATTGGGGCCAGACCTGTGGATGGAGACATAGCATTAAACCCCATGATCACAACAGAACCATACTGATAATGTAAGTTGCGGCACTACTACACAGATGGTACAACAAAGATACTGGATGTGCCTCGTTATCATTATCTACCGAATATTGTGTTTCCTCTGCCGGTGTAGCCTCCAAAGTTGAACACGTGGGAATGGTCAGCAGTAACTATAGTCAGCGTATCATGGATGCTGGTCATGAGATCTGCCCTGCCGATGGCTCTGTCCATTTCCACGGCTTCATGCAGAGCCTGCTTGGCCTTGCCCTCATGATGTCCGTGGTCAATACGTCCTCCTGACAGAAATGGAAAATATTTCTAATTAGCCGTTACACTTATAAAGATACAGTGAGATGAAGTTCTAATCCTGTGTCCCTGTGTCAATTGTTCTCTCTTAATATGTGGTAAGAAAATAACTTTTTCTCTTTTTGTTTACATTTTTGATGACTCATCTCGAGCATTACAAACATAAATGTACATAAATTGGTAAAAGAAACAATCACATCTGGTATAGGATGACTAGCTCTCACCCATCATATAAAATAACCAGTTACTTGTCAGATGCAGCAGATCAGACATGTTCAACAATCCAAAAATCACTATGTTTGGAAAATACTCAACCCTTTTTTCTGAGTCCGTCTGGCAACAATCACAGACAAACTTGGAGGTGCTTGCCCTCCACAGCTATTGACTGCAACATGCTTCTTTCAACAGACTCAGCCAAGGACACAGAGTTACCAACACCAACCTTTCTGTGCCTACAATATTGTGCTGACATTGTCCATTCACATATTTCACAGTACTTATGCCACTGACAATGATGGTGATGAATGAAGACCAGAACAATACAGAATTTTGTTGGAATGGCATTTTTCTCCTCTCCTACATAGACTACCTTGAATAAACAGCAACAGACATAAAACTTCTTTTATACAACAAACAATTACATTTCTCAGCTCTCATAGTGGATAAATGCTTTTTCATATTCTGGACCTATATCATTGTTGTCTACTCTCCTGCCCCTAAGTCTGTGACCGCTTTGTCCTTGAAGTTTGCTGGCTTTTATGTTTTTGTTGATACATGTTTTTCTTTGTATTTCATTACCTCTAGCAAAATATGTTTCTCTTGAAAGGCCAATTAAGTGAAGTGAAGTTGGCAGCAAGATAAAAAACTTGGAAAAAAGATCACAAAATCACAACATCACACAAGAATCAATCTCGCCAGGCTTTGAGCTATACCCCTGTGTCTAAACCACAGTGGTTCCGGACCAATCAGCACTCCTAGGAAACTATGACATGAGATATGGGCATGGTCTAACACTAGGAGTGTGTGACCATGTGTGACCTTTTTGCTAAAAAACAACAGTTGGCATCAGCAGCTGATAAAGAGGTTAGCTTAGCTGCTAGCATCAGTTATATCAGATCTGCACTGCAGGTTTTTCTCGACTGGCTTCGGTAAGAGTTAGATTACATTATATAGTTTGTTAATCTGACTGGTTGAAGTTTGATATGATTTGACCATGATAGATGGTGATAGACAGGTTTATCCAATCACCTGGCAAGTATTTTTTAAAGTACTCCCACCAAACAGTGACAAGACCTAACAGATTACAGAGGGTTTGTTATTTCCCAGAGGTTTATATTTAAATAAGAGAAGTAGAGATGAAGTCATTAAGTCAGTTGGGGTTGGGAAAGGTTTTTTTTTTTTTTGGTTCTGCTGTCACTCAAAGTCAAATGATTGCTTACTTTCCTTCTCTGACAAAATTCTATCTGCACTATATTACCTGTCTGATGCTTTCACGTAACATATCACTCACAAAAGCAATACGAACAGTGACCTTAACTTTGGCACCTGGAATGTCAAGGGCCCAAACCATCCAGTTAAGAGTAAAAAAGCCCTAGTACAGCTAAACACTTGAGGGTACGAACTGCCTTTCTTCAGGAGACTTAAGATGTAGGTGAGTGGGACAGCTTTTTCATTCTCCTTTTCAAGCCAAGGTGAGAGATGTTAGTATCTTGATAAATAAGGATGTATTCTTTACCCCCTAAGACTCCCCCATGTTACATTATAGCTGCAGACTAACTTTACAACACTCATATATACATACGTAGTCATACTGGCTAATATATATGCTCCTAACTTTGACGATGTTCTATTGCCTCATCAGATTACTTTCCAATTTAAATTCACAATAATCTATACTCCAAACCTTTTGATCTGCACTGCAGAACTCACCAGTGATGCCCTCTGAGCCTCCTTTTTGTCCTGACTTTGTCTCTAGCTATAAGATCTAATAACTCCATAACTGGCCTGAATAGAGGGAACATAGAACACAAAGTTTTCCTTTATGCTGACGATCTCCTTCGTTATGTGTTCTGGTCATAAATTAAACCACTGGGCCACATTGTTAGAAATAACATTGATTATTTAGGAAAATAATATTCAAATATAATTTACTCAACAAATGTGATTCTGTTTTTATAATCCTAAGGTTTAATAGAAGATGAGACCTATAATTCAGGAAGTCAAAAGTTTTCACAACTTAAACTTGGCCAGGATGGAGACTGCAGCACTTAACTTACTAAACATGTATTCAGCTCCAAACTAATTGACCAGCATCAAACCAGCAAAAACAGCAAAAATCACTACATCGGCCCCCAGCCTCAGAGGACAGAAGAGCTGAGTCGATAAAGTTTATTTTGGATGGCAACACGTGCATTTTAATATGGACTGCTTTCTTAGCGAGGACTATCTGTTCAAGCTCAATGATGGATCGGGTGTCCGTGTCTCATCTGGACCTCATTTGAAGCCAGCTAGATAACAAGAGCAGAAGGTTTAGTAACTTTCCGTTGTTGCTCTATGATCTCTCGTGAATTGAATAATGTTATGACAATGCAGTGGAGTACTCTCTTCACGTACAATGTTGGGTAGCAACTGTAGAAGAGCAAAAGTTCCAAACACAATACACTATCTGTCAGCTGTCAACACCAACTTGCCTCGACATAAAAGACTTCAAACTAATCAGTGGTGACACCCACATCATATATATATATATATATATATATCTCAGTGTGTCCGCTAGGATTTTTTTTAGTTGTGGGGGCAGGCCCGTCCGAACAACAACCCCTGCCGGCAAACGTTTTACGTATGAAATAGAAGTGACACTTCGCTGCAACACAAACACATCTATTTACCGTTTTAATGTTTCCAGATGTTTGATATCAGGACGTGGAGCTGAGAACTGACAAGTTGAACGTTGTCCAATTAAAACGGACCCACCGCGGTGACGTTTTTGGTGGAGCTGTTAGTTTAATAGTCGACTTGGAAGAAAGCAAACGTTTTGATAATAAGCTACATCAACACAACGGTATGTGGAGTTAAACTGGACAGCCCCAATAACCTCTGAATAGTTCTACTTGTTGTTAAATTGCAATGTGAGCGGCAGCCAACGGGGGTGCATTATGTCGGCAGGATCATTTAAAAGGCAACCGTGACTACATTGTGCGTCTGCTCCATTTCTGATACCGTGGCGGCAGAAATTTAACAGCGGCGGGCCTCTGCTCCAAAATCAACATAGAGGAAACAATGTATATATTCAGCCCAACAATAACAGTCTGTATCCCTGCCTAAAGAGACATTCACTATTGAAATCTGCAATGTCACAGACAAAAATGTAACTGACTTAACTAACTCAGTACAGAATCCCCAAAACAGAAGACAACAGTCCCATTTTCCCTTTGAGGATATAAACGCACCTTCTACAAGTAGGTAAAATCCACTGGGATTTCTCCTCAGGATCTTGATGGCCACCTCCACCATCTCTGTCAGTGAAGGATCAGTCTCAGTGTTCCTCTCCAAGTCATATGGCAGATCCCCAGGTTCAAAGAGACCTCAAGGAGAAATAGGATATTACAAGTAGAAAATAAACCTAAAGCAAATGCATATGAATCTTCATTTACACTTCAATGAGATGTTCATAATGACACTGAGACTGGAAACTCACCCAATAAGTGATCTACGTCGTTAGGGTTCAGTGATAAGAGCTGCTTCTTGTTCCATACATAACGGCCTTTCTGCACAGTTAAAAGACACAAATGTAAAGCACAGTGTGACAGTCACTTTGAACTCCTAAATATGTAAATGTAATTGGGAAGATAAAAGAGGGAACAGAGAAACAAGAAGAGCAAAGAGAGGGAAGAGGAGGAGAAATGTACCTTATCCTTCATTCTGTCAGTCCACTCCTGCACCAGGTTTCTCTCGTCTTTTCGTGTGCCGCTGTGTTTTGCAACACCAGGGTACTCTATATCCGACGTGTTTTTGGGGAACATATACTTCCTCCCTCCACCCATAATCACCTGGAAAGCCACAGAACAGAATAAAACATTGCAATCTTGGTCTAAAAACTATTTCAGGACTAAATGTTTCACCTGTGTATAAGAAAGCAACAACTGACTGCTCCCCTTAGTTACTATTGCTACCCCTGTCAAGTGCAGATGCAGTCTGGCGTGGGTAGAAATATCACTCAAGGTTCTTAGTTATTTTCGAACAATGGGTCCAACAGTGGTAAACAAAAGCTCCTAATTTCCAGCTGGCTACCCCTATTTTGCCTTACCATTACCCTAACCCCAACTTTTAGCCCTAACTCGCCCTTTAGCAGATTTCTTTCAGTATACAGAGTATACCGCAGAAGAGCTCCTAGGAACTGAAGAGCGGATGAGGAGACAGAGAGAGAGGCAACAGGCAGAGGAGGGTGGACCAGCTGCTGCAAGGCTGCTAAACTCTGGAGACTGGTGGTGTTCCTGTAGGGGCTGTGACTGATGCCCACAGAGGAGGTTTCAAAAAGACACTTCTTCTTAAGCGAGACTACACAGACCGGATAAAGTAAAAGGTACAGAAAACATTTCATTTCTCTATAGGGGGTTTTCCATAATGTTCCTTTCTCCAGATTGAATAATACAGAAGCTTAGTTAGCCCGACATAGGCAGCTTACCTTAGGGCTGACGAAAACTCCATTCTTTACACTTTTGGTTTTGGAGAGGCTTTATATGCACTTACAAGAGCCCAAAGCTTGACAGGTCTGTGTACCTAGTTAAGGATGGTAAGCTATGTTTGGACACAAGTTGTTTGTGGGAGGATCAATTAGTCCAATGTTGGTACTTTTTCAGGTGACAAAACTTAGTTATCAGCGGCAGTTCAGAATTAATACTTTTGACTCACATCAATGTTGGGAATGTTTTCAAAGAGTTGTCTGGCGATATCCTTGCAGCCGGCCTGTACTGCTTCAGGTGGCATCTCATTGTCGGAGTACCAGTCTCTGTCCACGCTGTGGGCATAAGCAGCACTGGGAGTTGCATGGTTGACACGGGTCGTTGTCACTATACCTACCGACTTGCCTGCAGCGGACACACACATACACACACAATGTTTAACGTGAATTAGGGCTGAGTATTTCTTTTTCCGATTACATTTAGGTTGTCTTTTTAGTACAAAATTCCCTCTATGTGTTCCGCTGGATAATGTTTCTTTGGTGAGCTGCAGTGGAGCGATAGTAACACAAAGAAAGAATGTTACTGAATGTTAATGTACTAAAATTAATGTAACTTTGTAAAATGTTTGATTTGCTACCTAAGAGTGCTGAAGCTACATAATAATGCTGCATGGAACAAGGAGCAAGGATTTTGTCCCCCATCTCAGCCAGTATGGACAGCAACCAATAACTATTTAATTGTACGACGTGAATACGGTATTAAAATAGAAAAACTCCAAACCTATAATGAGGAAAACATCTCAGAAAGGTAAATTCAAGAGCACTGGATTGCCCCAATGTTCGTTCCAACACAAACAATTAGTTGGTTCAGTCAGGGTACCCACAAGTAAATGTTAATATTTCTTATCCCTAGTCTGAATACCAATTTTTAAAACTCATGTCCACCAATGCTAATTGGATAGACCAATTTCTTTGCTTATAAATCTATGGGATGTAAAAAGTCAAACATTAAAGGCGAAGCCAGCAGAGGACAGCCAGGGATTGAAAAAGTGATCTGATGAAAAGCACTTCTCCATTTCTATTTGCTTTGTGCAGGAGGTCAGCTGCTGCCTGCCATGTTCCCTGAGGAATGATTGGACTTCTTATTATTTGTGACCCCTGAACCCACACACATGCTCACACACAAACACACACCTTGACCCCCACCCACCTCTAACTTATACCCCACCACCACCCTCTGAAAATCTATTGTATTCTTTCACATCTCTGCTCTTTCTCCTTCTTTGTGGTGTCTTGATGTTGTGTTCAAGCAGACTTCACAACCCTGTGATTTATCTTTGAAGTAAAAGCACATTCTTCGATCAGATGTCATTCATTAAAGATGGTCAGGCTCTTGATCAAAACTGTGTGGCTCTGCTGTGTTCTGGCTCTACAGATACAGCACTGAACTGATTACTTTGAATATTTTGTATGTACAAACAATATACCAAAACTCCTTAAGTTTGAACATATGACACAGACACATGGTTCAGGAATTAACCCCCCCCCCACACCAAAAACCTTAAAAAGATAGAGATTAATGAAAAATGGGTGGTTAAAAGTTCTACTTCTCTTGTCGATTTAAATGAGAAAAAATATCTCTTTGTGTCAGGTTAATGTCAATTACAAATTGCTCTAAGGAGATACTTGGTTCAAAGGCAAAAAAAGGCACATCACTTTCAAGAACACTTCAAAGTCATTGCTTTCACTTCCCATTAAAACGGCAGTAACTACAACCACAATTAGGTTCCATCGGACGTGAAACGCATGGTAATCGATTGCAAACATCTGAAAAATTACAATTCTGCTTCCCTATAGACAAAAACGTCCGTGAAAGAGATCTGTGTCATGCTGTGTTTATTTAGTGTCTCTTTACCTGCGTCCTTAGCCCATTTGAGGATGGAGGTGACCTCATTGCCCTGTGTGGTGTTACACTGGGATCGGACAGCAGCTGCACTCACTCCCACCGTGCCCTCATTGGCCTTGACCCCACAGAGGTAAGCTGTGGCGGTGCCCGCACTGTCTGGCACCTGCGCGTTAGTGTTGTATGTCTGCAGGGGGGAGAGGCCATTGACATGTGGTCAGGATTTAAATAAGATTGTTTATATTCATTCTGATACAGTGTGCTTGTAATGAGGTGTTTGTGTGATGTTTAGACATGACACTAACTGGGTTAGTGGAGTTAAAGGTCCAGTGTGTAATATTTAGGAGGATCTATTGGCAGAAATGGAATTTAATATTCATAGGTATGTTTTCATTAATGTATAATCACCTCAATATAGGAATTGTTGTGTTAAGGTTACCATAAAATTAGCTGTTTTTATCAACAGACGTTGCATTTTTCATGGCCAGCGTAGTTTCTCCCTCATGCTTGGAAGCGAGTGAGTTAAATCAGCAACTGCAGCACTAGATACCATTAAATCCTACACACTGGACCTTTAAATAAATAAAGCTGGTGTTATTCTTATTGTCGGCAAATCCCATGAAAAGACCACAACAAAAAACAATATGTTACTCCATCCCTCAACACTTTCTAACTTCCCCAACCTGTCTGTGGCTCTCAGCCACAGGCTCATTGGTTCCTATTGAAGAGGTACATGTACAACAGTTTTCAAAGGCTTAATAAGTTTCTCAAGACTATTTCCAGCCACAAATTAATTCCCAGTTATATTAACATCACCTTTAGCTGTGGGGAAATTGGCATCTTTACTATTTTCTGTCATTTTGTATACTTAAACGTTTAATCAACTAATTAAGAAAATAATCAGCAGATTGATGTACAGTGCGTGATTTTACACACAGCTCACACAGCCGGTACCAACTGAAGTATTTTGACACTTTGTTTTTGTATGAGCTGTTTCACACAGATTCCAAGTTTCTATTTTGAGATAAATTGTATAGAGTTCGGCTTTTTTTTACTTACGACTGCAAATCTCCTGTTTCTTCTGGATAATCCAAATAGATTTAGTTTATCAACAGGATTATTCCAGGAAGGTCAGTCAGTGGTCAGATTTCTTCTTTCCACAGTAATCACAGAGGAGGCATTAATCTAACCTGATGTGACTAATAAATATATATATAAAGTTAACAGTAAAAGGAAAACGTTTTTAATTTCAGATCTTGCCTAGGACACCACTCAGTGACTGTGTTTATCTAATCTCTATAAACAGATATCTGCATAAGAATGCAATGTTTGTAGTCCGAGTAGTTTTGACCGTCGTACCCAGAGGCTAACTGTTATCAGGCGATAGCCGAAGACTGGTGTTTAGCTAATGTAAGAACATGTCATCCAGTGCAACGGTGTGGCTCATTTATTGTTTTGGACACAGTGGAGGTCTATAGCACAGATGAATAATCTATATCATCCTTTGGCTACACAGACAACTCTTCTTAATAGGATCAGTTAATTGTTGGTTTTAGTCTTTTCATGGGATTTGTTTGAAGTTTTAACTGGATTTTTTACAAGACCTGTAACATAATACTCATCCAGTATGACGTGACACACTGAATGAACTTGTTTACAGTCCCAGACCTCGTCAGGAAGCCATTAACGGCCACAGCAAGATCAATACATTGTGCCATATTGTATGGCATAGTAATAACCAAGTCAGACCTTGGCCAAAGACACAAAGGGGAACTTGTCCATCTCCAGCTGGGTCTCCTCTCCACTCTGCCCATTTAGCTGACCCTTCAGTATTCGAGCAGCCGTCACCGTGGGAACACCCATTCCTAGATACCAAAAGCAGGTCGACTGTTAGGACTTTTCATTCACTGCTGTGCACAGTTTGCAACACATGAGAGACTTTTGTGTTCTTTGACATTTTAGAACAAAACGACTGCTGTTAGGCAAAACATTTTCTCAGATACTAAATTACATCAACAGATACATAAAACACATACTTAAAGACAAAGAGAAGATAGAAAACAATAAAAAAGAGATAAACAAAACAGACGCTTAGGGTTGGGGGGGTGATGACTTGCACGATGATGATAACTTGTTGTTTGGAGGATGAGAATGAATGCCTGGAAATCTGTAATCTAACTTTCTGTTTTACACTAAACTAAATGCCTGAACTTAAAGATAATTACAGGAAAATACAACAGTTGCGCACAGGAAGACAAACAAAATATGAGGAAATTCCTATGTACTATTTGCCTCAGGTCTAGTTTTATGACTTACAATAAGAGTGCCCTGCATAAAAAAAAACCACCAGGCTCAGGGGTCCACAGTGCTACAGTGTTGTGCAACTGAGTTTCCTGGTACGAGGTAGACAATGTCTGGGAAACATTTTCTAACTATTCCCTACTGTGTCTTACCAACTTTTTTTAAAAAAGCTGTAAGACGCAGCCTGTTATTCTCTAACAACGCTAACACGGCCATGTATGCAGCAGTGCGCAAGAATGTCATTTCTGTGCCTACTGTATAGTCCAAACAGAGAGAGAGAGCAGAGGCCCGATGGAGGATAAAGGTTATTATGCGACCAATGAGCGGCCCAGCACGAACAGAAGCCCAGTGATCTGGTGGAAGCACAGTTGTTTTGTTTGATACTATTCATTCACCTCGTATGTTAGGAAACATTTTAAAAACCTTGTTCATTACCTACTGGATTACTGGATCCTCTATGGCGTCATTTTAATTTAAATAAAACTGTTGGCTCAGCTGGATTGTCAATAATTAATCTTTATCAAAAATAATAAAAGGGAAAAGTGGATCTTTTCTAGTGATGATGATACCTTCCACCTTTATGTGGATTTATGCATAATTTGGGGAAATTTCATGATTTTTTCCCCCCATAAATCAAGATGTAAACATGATGTTGCTTACCATCTCCAAGGAAGAGGATGAGATTCTTTGCTTTGTTTGTATTAAGATTTTGAAGCGTCAGAGCGTTCTTCAAGGTCTTCTGGGCCCATGTATTCCAAAACTTGGGATCCTTCTCTTGTTCTGTGTGTGGAAATAAACAAGTCTGTATAGCTTTGGATAGCTAAAGGAATCCACAGATACAGGATTGTCCATGAAATGTCAAAAAAAACAACTTCATATGTCTTGTTTTATGCGACCAACCGTCCAAAACCCACAGATATTCTGTTTGCTATCACGTATGACGGAGAAAAGGATCGAATTCACATGTAAAAGCGGAAACCATCAAAACTTTGGACTTTTTGCTTTTAAATGACTAAAACAATAAATGAACTAAATACTTCATTGCAGCTCTGTCACCAAATCAGTCAAAACAACCTAAAGCAACATACAATTTTCCATTTTAATAAATCTACACATTTGACTAGGGTTCACCTCATTATAGACCGTGACAACAGAGGTTGCTACACGTCAAATACACCATCTATCTCAGCAGCAGGGCGATCAGTCCTACAGAAAATGTATTCAAACAGTGAATTCCTGTTATGTTCCTGGCACCACCAAACTATCTACTATTCACTGTTTAAGAAAAAAACAGGATATCTGTTGTATAACAAACTTCCTTACATGGTTCCAAACATCCTACAACCTTGAAACCCTCCAGTGTGTGCTGAACGTGTCCAGATGGCTGGAAAGTTGTTGGTGTCAACTAGACTCCCTAACAACACACAGTAACTTACCAGGGAATTGTGGCTTCCCCAGACTCCCCAAGACCAGACAGGAGCAAATGATGAGCAGGTCTGTCACCTTCATGTTGTCGTCTCTGCGCGGCTGACGTGTCACTCTAGACAGCCATAACATGTCACTTTGAGAAGTTGAAGAAGCCTGTCTGCAGTCGCAGCTAGCGGGAGAAACAGAACACACACTGGTAATTAAGTCTGTGTCATCTCGTCACACACTGACTCTGACATACTGGTTTAATATATATTTACCCTGTGATGATTTGCCTAAGCATGCTTGTTTCAGGCAAACAACACACTTCTTGCTTGCGCTGTATCGCTTCAGATATCCACTCTGTAAGTGGCTGACACAGCCATAGGCTCATCCTGTTGAACTGGCAGCTCCACTGGTGTGTTGGTTCTTTTCTTAGTGGGATCTTAACAGGAATTTAGTATCCCTTCTCTCATATCTTTCCTAATAAGAAACGGTCAAACTAAGGTTGTGTGGGGAGCCAGAAAGCACCAGGAACATTCAACCATTTGATCAAAGCTGTGTTGATAAAAATGATTTCTTTTGTGTTGTTGAACCTGGTGTCAGTCATAAAAAAAAAAAGTGGATTTCAGCCCACCATCAGGCTTTGCAGCAGAGACAAAAGCAGAGCTTGGTAAAGTTAAGCTGGAGACCTTGCTGTGAATGTAAGTAGTCACAATAGGGGCCCTTATGGGTCCCAGCCAGTCAAGCTTTCATCTATAATTATCCACACCCTCCTCCTTTCTTCCCCATGCTTACAGTCAAGGTCATTTTAATGGGATTGAGCTCCATAGCACTGAGAGGTTTAAGGGCCATAATAAAGCCGATTAACACCAAATGATTGACTGGACACGTCCACCGTGAGGAAAAAAAAAAACTCAAGATACTAACACTTATCTCGCAAAAACCTTTCACCTGTGCAGGTCTGACAGGAGAATGGATTGGGCTTGCATGCAAAAATTTATAAGACGCTACCCTCCAAATATGTCAGATTGCATAGTTAAATTGATATCTATTTTGTTCATTGTGTTCCGTATCAAGCTCTGGCCTGTTGAAGCTTCGTTGTGTGCCAGCTGCCATCTGGGTTAATAATAAGATAAAGGCAGGTCTGAACCAAACTGACTAAGCAAGAATCAATGCGTAAAACGAGAAAGTACAATATTAACCGAAGATGAAATGCCAGAAGCCAGTTGCTTTTACCATCCCCCAAAGATGCATGGAGGCCAGCGGTAGCCTCCTTAAAAGCGGCCAGGTCCTACCGTGGAAACTGACCCAGCCAGTCTGCAGGTAAAGAAGCAAAGCAGTGCCACCACGGCCATCAGCAGGACGCCAGTCAGGGCAGTGGTCAGTATCACGTGAAATCCCACTTCAGACATGGTGTCAACAAACATTTTGGCTGCTCCAATGTATCCCAGCTGGTGTCAATTGGGGTGAAATTTCCCCGGAGTAAGTTAACTTCACCCTGCCTCGGGCTCTTGCTGCGCTGCCACTGAAGCCTGAAGCACGTCACTTGAATGTGTCACTCCAGCAGGTAGCAGCTCCATAGCAGGGATTAGGCTTTTAATTATGCTCAGATGTTTGGAAGGGGCTGATAGATAGAGGCTCCACAATGTTATATGAAAACCTCTACTGTGCCTGGGTTTTCAGACAGAATAGATTGTGTTATCCCCTCTGTCTCTTTTCACTCTGACTGGAAAGGACACTAAACCCAGTTGCCAGTTTTTAAATAGGCAACTTGGTTTTCTTCTCACACCAGGCTGCGTCTTCCAGCCTCTTGTATGCAGACAGAATAACTAACATTTAAACTGAATTTCACACAAAGGGGGACATGTTTCTTCTCCCCGCTGTTCTTTATTCCTGCCTTGCCTTTGTTTGACCATGAGTATGAGTATCCTGTTTTCCTGTCAAAGCACTTTCTAAAAATCTGTTTTTAAAGGGTGCTATATAAATAAAGTTATTATTATTATTTGACTTATTGTATTTTTTCTCTATTTGAGCAAAGATCTCTTGTGCGTGTGATCACTATTTGTGAATATTTTGCCAATTAAAAGATAATAAAACCTATTTTATAATCACTATGTGAGGAACTTTGGTTAAAAAACAACTTGTTCATGACCAAAAAACTCCAATATATCTGTTTAAATCCACGCCACATGGGATTATGTCATTAAAACCCCCAAATGACATATAAATCGGTACAGAACTGCATTTTACTGCAACCCCCTTATGCATTTAAGGGATGAGGAACCCAATCACTTGGACAAATCTCCAACTGGCTAAATGACTTTTAAGGTTTCTATCAACAATTACAACACAAAATCCTGCATGATTTATTAATGAATGGATTTAAAACTGAAGCCCACCAAGGACCAGCCCTTTAATCCTAGTGAAAAAAACACTGGATACTAACAGAGCTGGTCTCGGTGCAACAGTTGACCAAAACACTCTTTTTATCTCTGCCTTTATTTTGACATTGCTTCAGAACAAAGATAAACTCGGCAGCAATATTCAGAGCGGATGCTGAGAAGAAAAGATGCAAACAAGCTGTCACTAAAATATCAGCCGACCCTCCAGCGTGTTTTCTCCAAAAGCAACATGTTATATCTGTATAAAACAAGCAAAAAAAAAAACAAAACAGCAACCCCCACCACCCCCCAAAAAAGTTGTATTGTTTTACTTACTGCAAGTGCGTTTTCCAGAGATAGAAATCTACATCCAAATGTGGCTGCAGTTCATTCAGTCCTTCACCTTGAAAATGTGTGTCCTTGTCGGTGCTTTCAGTCGCTTTTATAAGGCCACACTTGTTCGACTCTGGCTCTGGGGATCTGAGAATAGCGGTCTGTATCCCACGAGGGGAAAAAAAAAAAAAAAAAAACCCCTTAGAAATAATGATGCCATGCTGCTGCTGTGAGAGTAGATGGACCGAGAGCTCCGCCTGTCTGACGACCGATGCGTTGCTTCAAGGGCAGGGAAAACTATAGTTACACTGTAACTAAGTAGTAGGTGGAAGTATTCAGATACTTTAAGTAGCAATAATTCCATAAAAAATGTAAGTAAAAGTCCTGCATTCAAAATGTATGTACAAGTACAGAGTTAGTATCAGGAATATGTGCTTAAAGTAGTGTACTGATGTATTAACATGCTTTACAGAGATTTAATGCTTAGTTTGTTGAGGTGGAGCTTATTTTAACTACTTTTTATATCATATAATGTCATATAATGTTTATTATAAGGGACTAAAATATATATCATGGACCAGTTTTCACATGCCTATGGTAGTATGCAATACTTGTGCCTATAATATGGCACTTTAAAATACACAAAAATAAATACAAAACAGCAGAAAAACACACAACTCAACAAAGGAAATACATACAAAACTAACAATTCAAAGACAGCAAACAATGATACAATAAAACTCAATAACAAGCACAAAAACATACATAAAAATGCATCATAATTTATACACCTCATGTGTTTTGAATGTAAAAATCTATAAAGAAACTATATATAAATGTAAAAATGTGTGAGTAGTCGTATATATGGTAGCAGTGGCACCATGAAACGTAATTACTCAAGTGCAAGTCTCTCAAAATTGTATTTACCGTAAGTACAATACTTTAAATGTGGCCTACTTAGTTACTAACATTTTGGTTCAGTAAATCCTTGAAAAATCAATAAATAGTTACTATAGTCTGACTTTATGGACTCACTGTCTAATGGAGTCGATTGCACAGTTAAAGGCTCATTGCTGTTTACTGTGGCCTCCTTTGGATCTCACTGTAAGGCCTATAAACAGACTTATAGGTGAAACCATCTCAATTTTAATGAGAGATACAACATCTACAGCCCTATTGTCTTTATTTGACCAATTATTAAACATTTTGAACCCACTATCTTCTTTTAAGATCCAACGTAATGGATTTTTGTGTTTTGTGCGAAGCCTGCCTCTATAGGCTATTTTCGATCGTTTTTAGACCCAACTCAGCCTACGTTCTTTCAAAGTATTTAATGGTGTTTCTGCCGGGAAAATCAATATTACAGAGCAAAAAAAAAAAAAAAAACAGAATCACTAAAGTCAAGAGAGTGCTTTTTACTGCAAAGTAGGGCTTCTGCTTCCCCCCCTCTTCAATATATAGTAATGATTCTGCTGGGAGGTTTATTTTAAGTTTAAAATGCTGGCAATTACTGATTCATTTTGATGTGTCTGTGGGCCTTCATAGCGTTATAAAAGTATAGCAAACTGCTTGATAACTTATTAACTTAGCTAGCCAGACAGTCATTAATGATCACTGAACCTTTATATACCAGGGGTTGCCAACCTGAGGGTGTGGACCCCCAATAGGGGTCGTAAAAGCCTCATGGGGGGTTCGCAAGGCCTTCTTGATTTTAGGGAGTTTAAGAAAACTTAAAAAATATACACACAGTATGTTTACATCTCAGCATTTGGTTTATTTCTGGAAAGAAAAGTACATGTAAATTGTCAAATAGAGTGTAAGGGATCAGAAAACACTGAATTTGTCAAAAAGAGAAGACTTTTACGTATGTATGATTGTTAAAGATGGAAAAAAATACATGATACAGACAAAAACAGGAAATAATCTGCTCAAAATTCATCCAAATCACTCGTTTTTAAGCAAACTTCTTGCAGTTACTGAGTTCCCAATTTCAACTAATTGTATAGTTTTTAATATAACATGAAGTAGCCATAAAATATATCCCTTAAGAAGGACACTTGGGAACCATTGTGCTTTATATAGTCTACCTTAACGGATCAATGTGCTTAGACAACGTTTGAATTCTAACGTTAGATAGCATTTTTTAAAATCTATAGTTAAAATACTCCACAACCAAAGAATGGCAGTTAAATTAAAAGTACTATTAAAAGGATAAACGCCCAATTTTGACACACTGGGACAGACAGCCAGCAGTCAGGACAGCTCATATATTTATATATATATATATATATATTATTATATTTATTAACTGTTCTTTCAGAGTGAGCTGCTAGCTGTTGGACCACAAAGTGTTTAAAAATAAGGCAGCACATTCAGAAGTAAGGTAGAAAAGAAAATGAACTGTTTGTTCAGTTCAACCAGTAAGTTAATAAAATGTGTTAAAACATGGCAGCTTTTGTCACACTAAACGTTTCAGAGACTACACATCCGGAGAGCTTATATTATCACAACACCGCCTCCTACTTAACGCGACAGGGTTTTTATTTATTTATTTATTTATTTTGATTTTTAGGAAACCTTTTCACCACGAGTGAGCGCTGATTTCCGGGTAGCGGAGCAGCGGAGGAACTTTGAGAGGGATGTGAACTATCTTGACAGAGAGGCGCAGTGTCTTTGGTTGTTCTAGCTGAGGCTCACTCACTGTCCCCCGGCCAGAAAACACACCGGAGTCACGGCAGTGGCGGCGGACCATCTCACTGCAGGGTAAGAAACACGGCTGTAAACTATCCTCTGTTTAATGTGCTGTTAAAGTAAAACAAACGTTTAAGTAAAATTATCTTTCTTTTTTTTTTTTTTTTTATTGAGGTGGACGACACAACATCACATGTGTTCAATTCTACGCTGGAAATGATTATTTTCTGGCGTGTTTGTAGTTGTTTACATGAAACTTAAAATGTTTGTCTTCACTGAATTGAACTAAAACTAAAATGTTTTTCTTCCCTTTAAGCTAAAATGTAATTCTGTGACTGTATATCTGTATACAAACAGGCTATGTAACGTTGTGTACAGGACATTGTTTGGGAGTTCACTGACCTTTTTTTTTTTTTTTGTAGCTTTACTGTTTTAATCTCATGTGAAATCAGTGTTTTATTCTACTTTTTAAAAAATATATTAGCACTCCCTTTCAGGTATCTCTCTTTTTTTTTTTTTTTTTACAAACTTCCACTCCAGCTCAACTTTGACACCCTTAAGTTTTCCCCATCTGAGCTGCACAGACACTCAGATGTCTCTCAAGTGAGTCATATAGTCATCAGATTAACTCCTCAACAGTCTGACATTTTAATCATTTTCACAACAATTTAGCCTTTATGCTGAATAAATCCAGCAGCTGCAACCCAAAAAAACCACCAAACAGTAGCCAAAATTAGTGTGTGAGCCACAATACAGTTGTGTGTTTGCATTCTTGATTTAATGGTTGCAGTGGCATGAGATTAATATTTACTTTCACTGTCCAAATGTTAGCTTGGTGTTTTTGTGAGCTCATTTATCTTAAGGGGACTTGGAGAGGGGTTTGTAAGCAACTACATGAAAGAGATCATCAATCAAAAATATCTTTCACGCAAACACTAAGTTTGGAACATAAACCAGCTTAGAAGATTGATGGCAGATGTTAAAAGGTTTGGTGTTGTACCTGTAAGTGAGCTTTAAACACATAATGAGGGATCATGTTGTTGATCAGTTGAAAGGGTAAAGAAAACGGACGGTGGTGGCACGTGATTTTATTGCAAAACAGATGTTACAAAGTGCTTCACAGGATGAGGAAATTACAGCAATTAAAGTACAAAACTCATTTATAGTATTAATAAAGCCAATTTATAGCCAAAATATGGGTTTTGTCACTTTAAAGTCAACTGCACAAGACATGAAGTCTCTTGTTATCTCAGACAGGCAGATGTCTTCTCTGTGTTTCTTTCGATCGAGGACTATTTCTGCTTTATTATGTCTGGTTCTAACTCACAAAGAAGTTTAAATGCCTAAAACCCAGTGCTGCAAATTCAAACCAGTACGTATGCTGGGTTAAATATTATTAGACGATCACTGATTGTACGAGCTAATGCCCCCAGCGATTGATTGGTTTGATAGCATTACGCAGGCTCTGGATGTGCTGTACTCGGGAGAGCGTTGGTTTACTCTGCAAGTTATTCATTACCTAGGTGTGATCGAGAGTGTGCTGCAGGGCGCCATAACAACAGCAGGAACAGGTAATCTCCTGTTATCTGTCTGTTGCCTTGGCTGAAAATCTCATTGTCTGCAAGCTTCCATGTGCCACTCCTAATCCCGACCATATGCTGAGAGAATACAAACTAGGAGCTCTGCAAGAAAAATGAAAAAAATCTACGCTTATTTTGAAATATATCATTATATATAAACTTTTCATGTGAATATGTGGTATTATGGTGTGTTTTAGTGCACTGTGCATGCTCTGGTGGGCTGATTGAACATAAAACTTTGTCTGCTTGTAGATGCTATAGTGCCTGACGGTGACACAAGACCCAACTGGGTGATATTTGATCATTGCACATACGTCAGAATACCTGAAACATGCAGAGAAGAATG